AACCCTAACCCTAACCCTAACCCTAACCCTAACCCTAACCCTAACCCTAACCCTAACCCTAACCCTAACCCTAACCCTAACCCTAACCCTAACCCCCCTAAGGGAGTTCTCTTGCGTTCAACGCAATTTCGGGGTCGTTCGTAGCGCTTATATCCCTGTCATATCTCATGGCAATCTTCCTATATCTCTTGAGAGGGCGGCAAAGTGCAATACGAGGTTCTTTCCATGTGAAAGGCTTGCTTAGGTATATCGTCGGGATCGTATCATGCGCCTATTTAGCCGTTATGATTATCTTTTATAACTTCCCGTACGCTATGCCCGTGAATATTGACGAGATGAATTATTCTTGCGTCCTGTTCGGAGCTATGGTTATCTTCCCAGGGCTATGGTGGATCAAGATTCGCAAAACATATCGTGGACCGCCTGTCGAAATGCTAGCATAGAAGGGTCAGTCTGCATGCTGTCAGAACGATATGCCTGGTCTCGCTGAATTAGATGAAGTCTAGAATGTTCTGCTGACAACTTGTACAACAACAATTCATGTATGACACTGCCCTCTATCAACTACATCTGCAACTACCACGTATTCATAGGTGAGAGCGACGTCGTAGACCCTTTTCCTGCAGCGTGATTCACCCACTGATCGACGACCTCGTCGTCGCCCTCAAATAGAGGTGTAACAAGCCGTTGTCAGACCAGTAAAATTGTGCCGGAAACTATCGCGTATTCTTGCCGTTTGTCATCTGCTTCCTCCAGACACAAAAGCCCCCTGTACTGATAGATTCCTCCTTCTCCCGGTAAGTCGACACTGTCAGCCTTGTTGAAAGTGATACTAGTGACATATTTAAAACGAAGAGTATCCCATAACAAATAGTGTGAGAGTTCTTGAAAACTTCACATAAAGTTCAAGCTGTTAGGGCATGCCTGTGGCGTCCACCAAGGCTTGAAAGTTAAAGCGGCAATCCTATATAAGGTTCCCTCCACTTTGGGGGAGCCGGGGTAAGGCCCTACGAAGAAATAGTACACGTAGATTCTGTAGTATTATGAGCAACGTGGAACTACTGATCAAGAAGACCAACAGGATGAACAGCTAGTACATTTACTACCAAGGCGAGGGTTCCATGTGTAATTCGCCGACGTCCGTCGCCGACGTCCGTCGCCTATAACCGTCGTCTATCCCCGGAGCCAGTGACGCGGCTCGAATCGAACAGACTACGGCATAGCCTATCGATATGGCTTACATTGACGTCTCTGATGGAATGTACCTACTAATCACTGGATAATGTTCGCTTTTCGGTTGCATAACACTCCACCAAGGTGAACTCTGTTACCGTGCGACCCTGGACCTAATTAATCCGAAGTGATTATGTCTCATAGAGTGCTTATTCCAACTCTGAAAGCTAGGGACTCAGGAATTCAATCATAAGTACGAACAGCTTCTTGCTCATAGGATCACGTCTCAGTTTCAAAGACAAGAGATTCTGTGGTCCTGTCCGTGGCTGGTCGTCGATATCCCTCCTATAGACAGTTACTCGATAGTGATTTTTGCCAGAAAAGATGTCACGTAACGCCCTCTCGGTTTCTGATGTCGTTGCGAGAGATGCTGCGACCTACAAATCCTCTACGGTTTTTGATCTTTTGTCTCTCAAGGGCAAGGTCACGGTAGTGACAGGTAATTGTCCTCGAATGAATTTGATCCATCATTAAGAGTATATCATAGGCGCTGGGCGGGGAATTGGGCTTGTGTTAGCGAGAACGGCAGCCGAATTGGGCAGCAGCGTCGCACTGCTCGATGTACTCCCGACGCCAGCTGATGATCCGTCAGAATTGGAAAGAGATTTCGATATACGGGCGAAATATTATCGGTGAATAACTACTCTGGAGAAGACTTCCATGTTTCTTTGTGATCAAACTTACTAACTCCTTTCTCACCACAGAGCCGATGTAACCGAATTTACTCAGCTGGCCGAGGTTTTTGACCAAGTGAAGCATGATTTTGGTCACATTGACAACTGGTTCGTACTCTACTTCTCATGTACTTTGCAGCAGGATTTGACGGTGGTATTCAGTATCACCGCTGCTGGACTAGTCTTGGACAAGCCTTTTCTGGATCATGAGTGGGAGGAGAGTGCAAGGATAATGAACGTCAATGTAGGCGATCGGAAATCGCACGAAACGTATTGCAGTGTCTGAACATGTCACAGGTCTTGGGCAGCTTCTTTTCTGCACAACTCGCCGCCAAAGCCATGGTGGAGCATAAACGCGGCGGCAGCATCGTATTAATCTGCTCAGGTGCCGCACATGCCTCGACCCCGTCACGACGCATGTCTATCTACAGCGCCTCGAAGGGCGCGATTTGGTCTTTGACGAAGAATCTTGCCGTTGAGATGGCTCCACTGAACATCCGTGTTAACTGCGTATCCCCTGGTTTCATCGCGACGGAGATGGTCTTGGACGCGGCAAGCAAAGACGAGAAGATCTGGGAGCAGTTCAGGGACGGGCCCCCACTGAAACGGATCGGACTCAGGAGTGAAATCAAAGGCAGTGTAGGATATCTGCTAAGCGAGGCTGCTGCATTTACCACGGGCACTGATATTCTTGTGGATGGCGGTATAACGTCTGGAAGGATCTGAAAGTCCAGAATCTGCGACTCGACGGTTTCCAGAAAAGATGTGGTAGCACTCGAATGGGGGACATCGTGTCGCACGAAGTGATGCGATAAGGAGGAAACAAGAGATCACACATGTTAGGAGAATCCCACAAATATCACCGCATCTTGTTTTGGAAAACCTCATCTGCGCCATGCGCAAACCATCGGCCTATCAGTCAGGCATTGATATCTTGGATTTGCTACGTACAAAAGTTGATTTTAGGACCTTCTGCCCCATAATTCTGGCCCGCATATGTATGAAAGTCAAACAACCAGTGATTCTGTGCTCTCGTCAATATGATCGAGGTAGAGCAGCTCCATTGTCAGCCCTAATAGTATGTTGACGCCAATTGAGTAGTTTCCACTCACGCCAAGAGCTTTTCCTTTTCTGGTTCCGGAATGTCATAGATGGCGACTGCGCTTTTCGGAGGTGGTGTAAGCATTTGGTATGCCTGGCTTGGTGGCTCAATACCAGTTCACCCTTGGAAGTATTACCATTGAAAGCATATCGGCAGATAGCCTTGTCGGTGGTGAGGCTGTGTTCTGGGTTTGCTTCCTATTGTCGTCCTACGCTTTGTAGCACAGACAACCCTTGACCTAGCCGTGGCCGGTTCGTAAAATGTAGTGCTAACCGATCGAGTCACCCATCGCTTTTCCTCCGATCACTCTCGTCTATCTCTCTATAAAGATCAAGTGAGGTTGTTCATGTCTAATACGGACTTCCTGTGAGCGATGAAGCTAAATTATAAATTATATTTAGATCTATCTAAGAAGCTACAAGAATACGAAACATAGAAGAAGCTTGGCGGAATGCAGGTCTGGGCAGTATTACTTAGGAGCGACGATCGCCTGCTTTGTTATATTCACACACTCTATAGCTATCGTTGGCCGCCCTCGGCTCGGGGCCCCGGGCTTGTATCACTACGATGCGTCTCGAGGCCACACCGACAAGGTCACTGCCGGCCCGGTGAATGTAAGCCGAACAACGACACTCCTCTCGTTATTCAGCTCCAAATCATATATACCCGGATACAGCACTGTATTACCCTTGTCGTCGAACCTTGCAAGCGTACCGATCGGGACCGGTATGGTCATCGACGCGGTCTCACCAGGTGCAATAATCGACAGCCGATCAAACCCAACGAGCCACTTGTTAGGGTAAGGGGCCGGTCCGGCGTTCGTGGTGTTGGCGAACAGCATCGCGCTATAGTCGCTCGTGACGGATCCCGTGTTGGTGATGGCAAATGTCAGGTTGAGTAAAGGTACCATCTCGACGTAGTCGTACCCTGGGTGCGCTTGGGACGTCACGTTGATGGTATCCCATGCTGTAAGGGTTGGTGTAGCTCCGAGTGCCAGGGAGAAATTGGTGTAAAATTCTCCAGCGCCAAAGGGGTATACTGGGGTGCCAGTGTACCACATGTAGGTCTGGCCAGGATTGCCATTGCTGCTGTTAGGGCGCAGGTCCATGATTGTCTGGTTGAATGCATCGACGAAATCGGCTGGGGCTCGTTTGCCGGTCAGAATATCAACAATGGCAGCGCCTCCTGCTTGTCCTGGATAACCACCCCAGACCAAAGCACTGATGTTGGGGTTGTTTTTGAGCGTTGAAGAATCAACTTGGCCGCCCCCCATCTGCAGGACCACGACCGGTTTGCCCATAGTTGCCAGCTCCGCGATCAGGTCGAGCTGATTGCCGGGCCAAGTAATGTTCTCCCGATCTAGAGCCTCTTCCTCTAGTGTGTTATCGATGCCACCCATGTAGATGACCACATCGGATGCATTGGCCGCGGCAATAGCACCACTGAAATCTTCAGTGGACGTAGTGGAAATATTGGTACCAAGAGCAAAGTTGACTTCCAGGCCAGTGTCTTGTGCAGCTTGCAGAGGGCTAATAATGTATGGTGCAACCCCGTAATAATTTCCCAGCATTTGATCCGTCGCGTTGGCCCACGGACCGATAACAGCGATACTCTTGACTGACGACGAGTATCCAAGCGGAAGTGTGCCATCGTTCTTGAGTAGGGTGATCCCTTGAACAGCAGATTCATAGGAGATGTTCTGCGCATCAGTTGATACCACGTCCTCCCAAGTGAGTTGGCGATACACGGTGCTGCTGTTTCCGTCGAAATAACCCAAGCGAACCAGGTTGGAGTACAATCGGAAGACTCCCTGGGCGACATCGGACGGGGCTACAGCCCCTGCAATAATGGACTCATTCAGATGATCGGCGTAAGCATGACCACAATCGATGTCAGTTCCGGCAAGTAAACTATCCGATGATGCGATGGAGAGGTTGTACGCATGATAGTGGGGTTCCCAGACATTGACAACCGAGTCACAATCGGCCGAAACGTAGCCGTCGTAGTTGCTGAAGCCCCAAGTGTCACGGAGCAAAGTCTGTAGGAGATATGAGTTTGCGCAACTTGGTACACCATTCACCGCGTTGTAGGAGCACATGAGGCTATTCGCCCTAGCATCACGTATTGCCGCCTTGAACTGAGGTGTGTAATAACCTGCAAGGTCTTGGTCTGATATGATGAGGTCAGCCGACTGGTACCATTCCAGCTCTCAAGATCGTAGCCAGCGAAGTGCTTTTGTGTAGCGACGATCTTGAGGTAATCTGGTTCGACACCTCCTTGCAGAGCAGTGATATATTCGTAGGCATACGCCGACGTCAGGAAGAAAGCATCTTCCCCTGGTGTTTCCTGCCCTCGACCCCATACAGGACTGCGAAATCCATTGATGTTGGGTGCGTAAGAGTCCAGACCGTACTTTCCAGCATTGCTAAAGGCTCGACCCTGTGTAGAAATGATATCGGCAATGGTGTGAATGTGACGGGCTGTCTACCGACTTGACAGCTACCCCAACGGACCCCAGCCGCTCCGCCACCCACTACAGCTCTGTTTAAGCGGGGTAATAAGCAAACGAGTTTCATCCCATGGATCTGCCATTCGTGGGGAAATGGTGAATGCACGGGCGTAGCTAGAATCTGATCACAGCCAGACCCTCGCTTAGGGCAGTCTTCCAAACTCGATGGCGTTAGAGATAAGGTCTACAGACATCTCTGCCTTACCTCCTGAAGTCTCCGAAGACTCTGGGGATCCTCCTCTGGGCCTCTTATGGACAGGGGGTTCAATAGGCTGGGTTGAGCGGTAGGGCGGCCACTTTCCCATTCGAGTTTCGTCGACCGCATCGAGTCAGTTTGCTGTTGTTAGGGCAAATCATTCCAAGCCTACTCCATGCATTTTTTTCCCTTACAGTGCTTGCAGTCATTTTGCACAAGCATAAGCCACCTTCTCTTGGCAGTGTTTGTCACAGTGCTCAAGCTGCATTGTCTTCTCCCACAGGTTCCCATGTGGACCTGGCTGACAGTTGTGCGATCTAGCCTCGCTGATCTACTCGAACGTGTTGACCCACAGATACCTCGCCACGCGTTCCGTCATCCTGAGAACAAACAAGACTACAAACAGGAGAATCTGTTGAAGAGGTGGCACGCCTGCAACCTCCAATATGTGCATGGTCTAATGACCTCTTGCAGCCAGAGTCTGACTTCACCGTCCATCCGGCACCGCAAGCTAGACATGTTTTTTTCTTACGGACACCCTGCTCCTCATCCCTTTAATTCAGACGTGGAAAGAAATGGACGCAAAGTGTGGCCTAGGAAAATCATAGACTGTGACCAGGTTCAGCTGCCGAAACAATGGCATTCAAAATCTCTTCATACGCAGCATCTGGAGCGCTACCTAAAGCTTACGCTTCTTCTTTTCCTGTGACTTTGCTCGATGTTCGACTCGGTAATCTCCCGTGACCAAGAATTAGCTTTCGAAGCGGTATATCAAAAGACAAAGGGCGAAGATGGACGTGAAGACCCCAGTGTAATATTGGAGTTGCAGTTACTTCAAGTCGACACTGAAATTCGTCACTTCCATTGGGGTCGATATGAGTTGTGCGTCCTTTTCTGAGAGCATCAAACTAAATAGAATGCAATAGGCGGCGTATCCCCTGGAAACCTTACTTTATCCCGTCTTTATCCTTGGGGCTTTCATTGCCGCTTCGGCTCCCGTCAAGTTGGAGCCGATGATGCTGTCATCGGCCTCGATTCCACATAGCTCCTAATTCATCGCGTCCTCTTTGGCGTTCGGCTGAACCTCGAAACGCAATCAACCGCGCTTTCCACTCCTTTGGGCCTCATCGGACAATTCAGCAAGCGAAGTGTCTGACCGGTGTAGCTGGTCATGCTCATGTGAATATCATTGTCATTGTCATCCTGGAGTCCTTCACCCACAACGGCACAGCGTTAGCCGCTGACATGGTGGAGGTCATCAGTCCTATCGTATGGTCCTACTCGTTTGGTGTGAAGTGACCGCTGTCGCGAGCCTGCTGGGCTGGAGACTTGTGTCCTCGATGGACTCCATGTCAAACGGTTTCAAGTTTTCTGGAAACGGGCTCACCATCCTACACAAACGAAACATGTGCACAGCTCTTCCTGTCTCTGAATAATTCAGCCCCAGGAATTTGGTATCAATGTGCCAGACTGGACGACAGCCGGACTCCAGCAACGGTCCCAGTTGAAAGCTGAGGGACCAAGCCACTGTTCGGGAGGGAAGTGGCTCATGATTGCATTCAGTTCTGGGTCCATTGTCCAGCCGTCAAGGTCAACGCTAGAGGTCGGATCGTGAGTGAGTGATGTGATGGAAGAGGACGTCAAATCCGGCTCCTGGACTACCCCAAAGGACAATCTGGTAGTCATTGTTTCCAACATATTGTCTTCTTGGCGAGTACGTGTCCTTGCATGCTGCTCCGCCCTGCCGAGAATTCGACGAAGGATTGGTGACGCTTTCGCGCATACTTCGCTTCTCTCCGACATTGATTCAAGTCGTTGAGTGCAGCCTTGGACCATAGCCAAGATGAACGAATACTCTTCGTCAGTGAGCTGCAAGAGTTGTGGATCAAGCAGCAATGCAAGAAGCGTGGAGGCACCTAAGAAGGCGTTGAAGCTACCCAGCCGATAGACATACCAATCGTATCTGCGGAATCCAGCATTTTCATAGAGTTGTCGATGGCTGTCTAGAATCGCCATGGCCGCATCCTTGCATTGACTTCTGCTCTTCTTCAATAACGCAACGTCGACCGCTTCCGATGTATGTAGTCGTAAGCAGGAGCCTTTCAAGTATGGTCGGTGCAGGATCAGGTACAGCTGGTTGGAGTAATTTTTGAGGATTTCCATATTTGCTCTTTGATGGAGTGGCAAGTCTGGAAAGTTGGAAAACCTCCTGGTATGTTCACTTTGTTCTTGAGCAATTCTGGCGTCAAGAGATCGCAATAGCGGACTCTGCAACGGTAAGAGATTCAGTGTCGCCTTGCAGACTGCAGTCGCCACTGAGTAAAGTCGGAACTTGTACAGAATGTAGGTCATCTGTGTTGGCGCCCTGGTGGAATAGGGACCTCCACAGACATTGTGTACACCATTCTCGGTGATCTCGTCGTCGTTCACATCAGCGGGCAGGTCAACATCAGCGGAGACTGGATTCGGCAAAAGATTGCCCATACATGTGGCCTGATTCTGGTATAGCATCTTCAAGCCTGCCCAACAACGACGTCGCTCCTCAGCTTCAACCGTGCCGACATCTAGGAGCCTTGGGTCGATGTGGCAGCCAATGGCTGTGGCAATGTGCAAGGTAAGACCAAGCAAGGGCCAAGTCGGTCCGTCAGTATGTGAATTCGCATATATCAAGAGTAACAGCGCCTTGACAGTGTAGAGATTGTGCTGGAGCATGAACTGATCAGCTGTCAGGCATTTTATAGCAGCTTGGCGATATCTGGAAGCAATGCTGCGGATCCTGGCTACGCTCGTTCCTTCGCGGCTCAGTTCTTCCAGCAAAGGATCATTGTCTTCCAAAGTAAGGACGGCTATAGCCAGAATGACAAACAGTAACGCCAGGAACGCGAGTGGAAGTTGTCCAGGGGATTTGCAGAACTCGGCATAATCATTGTGCAAGGTTGGATCGTGGAGGATATGGAATAACTACCACAACAGTTAGCAAGTAACAAGTAGGTTCAACTTAGCAACCTACTGGCGAGAAGACATCATGGTATCTTTGCAACAACTCGTCGCATTGGCGTTTGGAAGGCAAAAGCTCCAGGAGAGTCTGTCTAGGAAACGCAGGCTCGGCAGAAAATGGAAAGCCGGTCGAACTAGTGAGCGGTGATGAATTTTCGGTATGCATAAACGCTGCCATATCCTCGGAGTTGAAGTGCTCCATATGGGGTATAAAGCGAACATATCCGTCCTTAGACTTAAGAAGGGAGCCAGTCAATGGAAAGCTTGACACCGAAAAGCTTTCATCGGATGCTCCAACATTTGACGAGGTTGATGCATCGCTTGAACCTCCTGTTGGAGTCTGCAGGATCGTATTTCTGTGGCAAGGAACATCCACATTGATATGCTGCCTCAGTAGCGACTCGAGGCCTGCAATTCTGTCGACGAGGTCTTCGTAGAGTGTAGTGTCGCGTGATGGACCGACAGAGCGTACAAAATAACAACTGGCTCCGAAGCCTCTGCGCACGCACGACTGACATGGCGCTCGACCCCCGGTGCATTTGATCTTACGGTTGCGGCAATTCTCACAGCTGATTGGCTGCCTCCTGATGGAATGCGGTGCCATGGCAAGTGGGAGGACCGTCACAATCAGTCTGGGTGCTGGAAAAGATGCTGAAAGGATGTATACAAACGTCAAAGGAGGTGCACAAGGCAAAGAATATGGTAGGCATCACGCCCGCACCCGAGGAGGAGAGAATATACTTCTACAGTGGGGAGGAAAGCGCACTGTCTTCTGGGTGTGAGCCGTCAATCTCCAGGGTTCGCTGGGAATGCGGAGAAACAGTTGTAGTAAGAGCCCTTTATGCCGAGGATAACGGCAGGAGCGGTAAGGACGGCAAGGACCGGAAGTTGGCTCCGACACTGGCAGTTGGCGGTCTCGAACTGTCATTCGAATGCTTGGTCTTACTACCGAGATCGATGACGACCTTAGGTGAGCGTGCTTCTACGGGGTTTGGGCACCTCTCGCCTGCCAGCCTTTTGGGCGGCTAGTGCTGATCTACTACGAGGTCGACTGGAAGTCTAATGTGCAATGCCCAACTTCTCCGCCTTTTGAACCTCCTGGCGATATCGTTCAGCAGATGCCGCCCTCATTCTGGAGCCCCATTTGATGAAGATGAGGAAAGTGAGGACTTGCGCAAGACCTGCGAATGCCGCCACCAGAAAAGCATTCTGATACCCCAGATTGACGACCCAAGGGGTTACACCATACCCAACGGCGAAGCTCATAGTGTTCCGAATGCATATAACGCTGACAATGGCATCTGCGCCGAGATCCTTGTAGGTGTCTATGCAATATGATATGGCCAATTGAGCGCCGACTGAGCAGGCCACACCGGTGACGCCCATTGCAAAGACCAGGCCGAACCAGTGAATACCATGAGCTGCGCCCACGCCCCATTGAATCAATGACCACGGCACGGCGACAACAAGCAGGAGGTAAAGCCACAGACGCTGCTCCGATTCCCAAATGCCCTTGTTTCGACGGGCAAGTCGTAAGACAAGTCGGTCACCCAGCTTACCAGAGATGAAAGAGCCAATGCAAGTTCCGATGATAGGTGAGAAATATGTCAATCCCACCATGGAACTTCAAATTCTGGTCAGTCAAGAAGTCCAACGGGGCGTGTCAGACTTACGGAGCGAAATTATATGGTGGGCCGCTGAGGATGAGAGACGAAGTTGCATTTAGGACGTTATACCAGACCAGCGAAGCACCATAGTTGAAACCGCAATAAGCAATGACAGGAAATGTCATGAGTTTGAGTGGTCGCACCACGCCGAATAAGAAATGCTGCACAGGTCTCCTTTTGTCGAAGACCTTGAGCTTGGCCATGTAGCTCTTCTTTTGATATTGGGTATGGCTCGGCATTTGGGCAGCATAGTTTTCTTCCACAATAGCAGGCTTGTCGTTGTAGGCCTTGTCTTCTTCGTCAGTGTGTGCATGAGTAGTAGCCTCGGCCAATTGTGCTTCCTCATTGAGAATCGAATGTCGGTTGTAGTTGGTCTCTTCCAGGAAAAAGAAGCAGAACACAAATCCGATCGCAAGCCAAATGGCGCACCAGTACTGTCACACGTCAACGGCCATTCCAGACATGGCTGCCAACTTTGCCTACCTGTACCCACTCCCAACCCATTCCATCGTTAATAAAGCCAGAGAACACTGGGGCGAGGAAGCCAGCCGTGTACAAGGTCAAAGCATAAATCGCTATGTACGTGCCTCTCTGGTGAGAAAAGTACACATCGGCTATGGAGATCTCCGCGAGAGACTCACTCGGAGCCGCCAAAAGCCCCTGAAGAACCTTGAGCGCCCACCAAGAACCTGCAGTCCTCACGTAGGGTACCGATACAGTGATGCCCTGCATCAACGTTAGTCTTGCGCTTCACGGCCGTAAATGTCTCCTACAATGGATAGCAGCAGTGAAAGAAGATAGACAGGTCGTTTGCCAAATGTTTGCGCGGTGGGCTGCCTAGTTGAAGGGATTAGCTTTCAATGCTAGATAGAGTCAGGTTACCATGTGGTTGACTTTACCATAGCAAGCAGCCCCATCCCATCAGTAGAAACTGGTAGCCCGTTCCAGAGTTGAGATCTAGACCAGAGATCAGAGCTCTCCAATGCCTCAAGTTGGGGAATAAATACTAGCGACTGTAAGACCTGTATCTTCTGAGATCGGCACGATTATCGAGTAAACACAGGATACCGCCAGTCCAATCATCAAAAGATATACACATAGCGAGATCGTCGACAACAGCTTGCGTCGCGGTGACCAATTCAATGGGTCATCTGGGTCATTGGACGGGGCAGGCACCAAGACTACATCAGCAAGGTCTCCTTCTGCATGCTTGACAGCCAAAGTACGCTGCAAGTCCACAAGGTGGAGAGTGCCTGGGATGACAGTGCGTGCAGTCATGTTCGCTGTTGAGAGATAATTCACCCTCAGTCCCAGCTTCGTCTGGGGAGTCGACACTTATACGGAATATCGCACCTGACCCTGTGTGGGTGCATCATAGAGGACATCGAGCAAGGAGCCTTAAACCCCCGCAGTCGTCCCCGGATGGGCGTACTCACTCGTCTTTTTCTCCGCCTGCTCCGGGTTTGTTGAATTCTTGTCCACTTGTGACTTTCTGGACAATCATCAACGGGACAGAGGTACGCTGGGCCTTGTAGGGCGGCATGGCTTACGTATCAAATACCGATAGCGTGCGCGGTGAAAGGCGGAGTAATGCAGCCCCATGCTCGGGCTCAAACTTCATCCAGCATAAAAAGATTTCAAGGCGGACAATTGCGGACATCGACCAAAGACGATGTGATCTGCCGGGATGTTAGCTATTGGGGTCCAGTAAACGCCGAGGGGGTACTCTAATTCGACCCCAGCCCACGCTTCTCCCCTCATCTGCAAGGTTTTGGTGCGAATATTGCATGCCGCTGACAGTGGAAGGTAGCACGTCCGGCAATCGCGGCAATGACGGACTTGGACGATGTGAACAATGCGGAGAGATAGGGTCGAAGAGACATACCTGATGGGTCTCATTGGGCATAATAGCGATATCATCTGTCTGTGATTTGTAAGATCCCGCAAAACAATATCTTGGCTCCCATTCACTGGTAGCTGGCTTTGCACGTGGTACTTGGAGAACTACCCATTTGCGCGTACGTTCGTGAGACCACGGAAGATTACCTAGACGATGGACATCTTATGTTGCTAGTATGAAGAGCATCTCGAGACCGCAATGGCACAGACCTAGATAACGATGACAACACGATTCCTAGCCGGGATCCGTGACTGATCACCAACGACGTCCAAGAGCTACAGTGCGGCGCGGCATTGAAAGGGGGATTGCTCCAGCGGCAAGCTCAATTCTCTTCCTATGCTGAGCTCATCTCAAGCGATATGTCCTGCACAACGAGTTGAGTGGGCATTTTGGCCTTCACCAAACGAGAGATTGACTGGGGACGGATTTCACCTGGAACGCTTGGCGTTGTTCTGCCAGTCGGTGCTGAGTGCATATCTTTTGTTTGCCTAGCATGCACGAGCTGTTCTCATGCGGCTCTTCTCTTTGCCGCAATGGACGTAGTTGACAAGCTTCAGGAGGGGCTGCGTCGCATGCTCACTAACACGAGCAGACGCAGCGCTGTCTCGGCAGAGGTGCGAATATCTCAGCATACAAGCCAATGTATAATTGTCCGAAGATTTTCATGGCTTCAGAATTCCTCTACTTCCCTGGCGGGAAAGGTTGGCCAGTCTCATTGGACTTCCGAAGACGTGGAGATATTGTAAAGCACTGTCCAGGTGGAAGAAGCATCAAACTGCCAGAACGAGGCGGATTGGAAAAGTCTCTCCGTAAGCATTGCTGTACCACGACATCGGTAAGACCCATGGGCGCGTGTCCAATCGACCTTTCTTTTTCTCGTGAACGGGGCGCATGCCTGCACCCTCTTCCGCAAAGCTTATAGGTCGATAGCCGATCAGTTGACACGTGCTTCGATCACGATATTCACACTTCACAATCGTGGACGAGTTCCCATCGACAAATGTGTTCAGCGGCGATCGGCTGCAGGCGTTGAATCTCGATTGTTGCTGGGTCCATCGGGCCAAAAGGGTGCAGGATACGAGACATGGTCAGCATGCAGAGAGGTGTGACGACGATATGGTTGCAGGATTGCCAGAGGTCAACGTGAACCACGAGACGATGCGGGACAGGATGGTGAAAGGACGGTAGACAAGTAAGAGACTTGAAATATCGTGCGAAAGTGAGAGAAGACACGAAGGACCAAACAAATTGTCAGAGGAACCACGTCATTATTTACAGTCAACCCAAGTCGCGTCTGCAATTGCAACTGCGCCCTTTAGGCCGCAGTTTATCCGGCAAGTGTACATTCCACCAGTTTCTTCATCACTTGGGGACCTTATCTGCGACTGTTAGTAACAACATACTCTCCCTGGGTCCAAATAGACCTTTTGAACGCACCTGTGTACGATCTTCTCGGTAGCCGACTAATCAATGGACCGTACAGTACCCTGAAAAGCCTACGCCACCTCGGAAGGGAACGAAAGATTACAAGTCGACAGTGGAAGTCAGATATGGGCACAGATTGCGCCGGCGTTTACCGCCCCTGCTTGACCATACCAGCCAGACCTTCCAAGTTGATAACGGGTTAAACCAAGACAGAAGACATGCAGCCAAAAAGGAGGGTCTGCCATATATGAGGAAACATGCTTCGCTGGATCTGTGCACCAACATTCCTTATACCTGTCACGACACCGTTGGAAGGGACATCTTGTGCGATCAACACGGATGAGAGAGTTGTCTCCATATCGCCAGATGGAATGAAATGCCCCAGCATTGGCCTTGCACCTCTTCCCCCTAGTCCCTCAAATTCTCGCATCGTCCTGCTCGTGATGACGATATATGCAACGGAGACATCTTCAAGTTGGCATTGGGATGAGACAGGCAGCCTTGCAGCTTGCCGACCCGACCCGACGACTCAGCTTGCTCTTGAATACATTTTATTCGTCCTTGATGTCATTAAGGTAAAGCCATATCGAAGAGCCGTCCCGATCGATGCATCTTGGGTCTTCAG